ACAGACATAAATGAGAAGTCCATGGCCGCGAATAAAGAGGCCATGCCGCCTCATGATCTAAACCAAACAACCGAAAATATTCTAAGTCTGAGAAGGCCATGCCACCTCACGAGGATGGCCATGGACACGTATGAGAAGGTCGTGGTGGTGGAGCATTATATCACTAGTGACTAAGTCCCAAGAAGGCCATGGACATGAGTAAGAAGTTCATGGCCGTAAGACAAGAAGGCCATGGACATGAATGAGAAGTCCATGGCCGCGAAGCAAGAAGACCACGACCCCCTTTGTGAGACACCACATGCTTATCAAAAGACTAGCATGACACGAGATTCAGAACAAGACCAGGCGAGGCAAGTTACACTCCAAGACCCACGACGGTTACAAGAGAAGCCCCTAGGCGGTTGAAGGAGTAACCACCACTCCGAGGAAGCAGGGAGCGGTTCTTTTTGGGAGTTATCCAAGAGGCGGTTTTCTACCGAAGAAGGGGGAGCGGTTCTTTGTAGCAGTTATCCAACAAACGGTTTTCTATGGCGGTTACCTCCTCGGGGCTATAAATAAGAGGAGGGGTCGACAGAGACAAAGGTTCCAAAACCAACACTCTGACACACATGTCAAGTTTATCCTTTACCTTTTCTCTATCATGTAGCCATAGATGTAGTTCGTAGTTTGGAGCTCTCGCCGAACCTCCATAGGAGTAGAAGTAATTTAATTTAGATCTCATTCCCAAAAACCATCAATCGAACACCCTCGTTCGAACTGTGTTTGAAGAGGTGTGAACCGTGTTTAGTGATCGTTGTCCAAAGAAGTCAAAGGTGCAATCCATCTCAATTCAACACAAGAAGTTTTCTCGCCGGAAAACAAATTTGGCACACCTGGTGGGACCTTGTGTTTGATCTGATGGCTCCAAGACAGAGGCAACAAGAAGGTGATCTCTCACCTGGATTTGTGATGAAGCAAGTGGCTAAGTTTGAATTTGGTCAAGAGATGAAGGATGTTGCCGGAAACAATGGCGTGGTGGAGACTTTATCACCGGCGGCACCAAGTGTTGATATAACCACCAACATCAAGTCACTTCACAAAATATTGGAGGAAGACCGCAAGATGATGGTGGAGAATCGTCAAGCCTTGGAGGAGAACCGCAAGATGATGGCGGAAAACCGTCAAGCCATGGAGGAGAACCGCATGTTGAGGGTGGAGAACGTCCGTGCCATGGAGGAACATCGTTATCCCTTGGAGGGATGCCTAGTCGGCCTTCATCGTGGTGCCCAACAAGTAAGCCTCCGCCTAGCATCTCTCACTTCTCATCTAGATAATCGTTTAAGTCAACTTATAGAGTTGATTAACAAAAATAATGATGATTTCAATGATTTGAAACACCTTTTGATAAAGCAAGTGGTTAAATCAAGAGATTTGCCACTAGATGGTACAAACTCTTCTGATAATGACCAGAATGGCCAACTATGGCAGAAGAGCTTGTCACCTCCAGTGGCAAGCAAACCACTCCATCAATGTGATAGTTATGGTGAGAGGTCCACCTCCACTTTGAACACCAATCATGGGGTCTTGCATGTACAAGGTGATGTTCAACCTCTTGTTCTCGAGGCAAGATCAGATGAGACACTTGTCAATGGACGAGATGGTGAAGATCCATTCAATGTGGACCAAGTACCACCACCTGCTTGCCAGCCCCCAATGCCACCCCTATGGAGTATGCAAGGAGGCGATTCTGATGGACTCAAAACGCATAGAGCTCGGCAAGGGGGGCATGAAAGTCTAACTTCCCACAAGCTGAACCCGAGATGTCCGTCTGGGAGGCATGCGGTGTCTAAGAGGCTACACCAATCACAAGCAACACATGCTTGTGCTAAGCATACTAATTTGGCTAAGTATGGAAAGGGGGGCATGCCTCCAACCACTTCGAGTGGACACGAGGGCATATCTAACAAGTCACTACGTGAGAAACCCATAAAAAGTTATTGTGGATTTAAAAATTTGGCCAAGTATGGACAATGCATGTCCAAGAAGCCATATGAAATCCAAGCCACACATGCATATGATAAGCATGCTAGTCTGGCTAAACCTGGACATGGGGGCATGTCACCCATCATGAAGTATGAAGTAAGGGGCATGTCTTGGAAGACACAACAGTTCCAAGCCACTCATGGCTTTTATAAGTGTAAAAATATGGTTAAGTCTGGACAAGAGGGCACGCCACCAATCACAAATAGTGGACATGGGGTCAAGTCCAACAAGAAAAGACGTGGGAAAGCCAAAAAGAGTTCTCGTAGTGTTGAAAATTTAGCTAAGTATGAGCAAGGAGGCATGTCACCCACCATGAATAATGGAGTAGGGGGCATGTCCAAGAATCTAAAAGAATTCCAACTTACACATGCTTGTGATAAGTACGCAAGTTTGGCTAAGTGTAGACAGGGGGCAAGTCCATGTCCATGAGTAGTAAGTACATGCCATCAATCATGAATGATGGACATAGGGGCATGTATAAGAAGGTATCATACACACAAACCAGACATGGCCTCACAAAGAACCAAAGATGGTCGTGTGCTAAGGGTAGGAGCCAACAAGGTTTGGAGGTTGAAAGACAAAATCAAGTGGGCCACATGGGTGGTCGCCAACTTGTCAAGATTGGACATCGTCTCCAACAACATGAGGAGAGTAAGCATGTCTCAACCATGAGGAAACCAAGGCAGAGGAAAACCCATGGTCGTCTTAACATGTCAAGTGATGTGGCTAAAGCATATGAGCAGGAGGCCCCATGCAAGGCCACCAAGGCTAGACATGCTGATCATATACCACCCACTGGTAAGCTAGAAGATTCAAAATTAATGTATGGAGAATCATGTTCCATGGAGGAAAAGAAGCATGTGGTATATGGATGGCTTGCATGTTTTAATCCATGGACTTGGCAATGGGTGTACACCTTTGGTACATTGATTGTTGCCAAAGGCTATGGAGAGCAGTGACATTTGTCACTTCTTGCCATATAAAATAAATAAATTTATATAATGTACTTATTATATATTAGTTATAAAAGAAATATTGTAGCCAACCATGGCTAAAAGAAAAGATAGAAGGAAAATATCAAAGTGAAAATCTTGAGTCGGAGTTGTTAGACTTCGACATGAAGATCTTGCCACCAAGTTATTGTGATGGCTTGACATGACGAGCCATACATCAGGTCATGCCATGCCATGTTATCTTGTCCCGAGTAGCCACGGCTGGGGGGCATGATGGCTTGAAAGTGGTAGTAGAAGAGTGGTGACCATAATGTCTCTACCAACATAAAAAATGAACATTATTTTTTCTAAGGCAAAAAAGTAGACGGCTTGACTTGTCACGAGGGAACTGTCTAGCCTTGTGACGAGGTGGGATGAGCCAATCTATGCCAAAATAGGTGCGAAAAATTCTAAGTTATTCTCTCAACCATGTGGCCAAGTACGAGATGTCAATGAGGGTGTAGGTGATAAAGTGAAGTTGGTATCTCGTTGAATGCATTAGGCGGCTTGACCATTAAAAGGCATGAGACAAGTTTTGACGTCGAGTACCATCCTACCGTGTTGGCTTGACGTGAAAGCCAAATTTTGGCTAAGGACGAACTAGGTGTGTTGAGTAGACACTAGCCATCTTGTTACTTTCGCTAGCATGGTGGTGTTCAACTACTTAGTCCATAATTCTTATGCACTAAGTAGTTGGGGGGCATTTGTTTACACTATACATTTTTGTCTTGTACCACATTGGTGAGTTACAAGATAATTAATGAGTTTATAAGGCCACACCCATTATAACAATTAATGTTGTTTAAGTTGGGCCTTATGGATATTGATTTTAAGCCCAAGCTACTAAATCAACGGAGAGGCCGTGCCGCCTCACCAATAAGGCCGAATGAGTGAAAATTTAACCAAGTCTGGAAGAGGTACATGCCACCTCAATGAAGACCCGGTGCGATAAAAATATTCTAAGTATGAGAATATAGGGCCATGTGGATGATTAAGAGGTCCATGGCCGTGTTATACGTGACGGCCATGGACGCGAGACAAGAGGACACGTGAAAAATACTAAGTATGAGCAGGCCAATGTCGTCCAACAGAAAGGGCCACAGACATAAATGAGAAGTCCATGGCCGCGAATAAAGAGGCCATGCCGCCTCATGATCTAAACCAAACAACCGAAAATATTCTAAGTCTGAGAAGGCCATGCCACCTCACGAGGATGGCCATGGACACGTATGAGAAGGTCGTGGTGGTGGAGCATTATATCACTAGTGACTAAGTCCCAAGAAGGCCATGGACATGAGTAAGAAGTTCATGGCCGTAAGACAAGAAGGTCATGGACATGAATGAGAAGTCCATGGCCGCGAAGCAAGAAGACCACGACCCCCTTTGTGAGACACCACATGCTTATCAAAAGACTAGCATGACACGAGATTCAGAACAAGACCAGGCGAGGCAAGTTACACTCCAAGACCCACGACGGTTACAAGAGAAGCCCCTAGGCGGTTGAAGGAGTAACCACCACTCCGAGGAAGCAGGGAGCGGTTCTTTTTGGGAGTTATCCAAGAGGCGGTTTTCTACCGAAGAAGGGGGAGCGGTTCTTTGTAGCAGTTATCCAACAAACGGTTTTCTATGGCGGTTACCTCCTCGGGGCTATAAATAAGAGGAGGGGTCGACAGAGACAAAGGTTCCAAAACCAACACTCTGACACACATGTCAAGTTTATCCTTTACCTTTTCTCTATCATGTAGCCATAGATGTAGTTCGTAGTTTGGAGCTCTCGCCGAACCTCCATAGGAGTAGAAGTAATTTAATTTAGATCTCATTCCCAAAAACCATCAATCGAACACCCTCGTTCGAACTGTGTTTGAAGAGGTGTGAACCGTGTTTAGTGATCGTTGTCCAAAGAAGTCAAAGGTGCAATCCATCTCAATTCAACACAAGAAGTTTTCTCGCCGGAAAACAGTATCTAAAGATTAATGAGACAAATGATTCATCCTAAGAGTGGCTTCCTTTCTCCATTCTTCTTCACAACCAGTCGATCAATATATCCACACCAACATGACTTTCCAACGTAGAAAAGAGAAAACATATGAAACATCACAAGGAAACTAGGCTAGCTAGTAGCTACAGAGTTAGGAAATCGCAGGGCAACCCTTGACTTGGACGCCCGGCGCAGTGGGACACTTAGCCAACGTGCAATGGTCCGACGCATCGAGACCCCACCACTCCGGGCCATAGATGTCCTTCGACTGGAGCGCGAAGAAGAGAAGAATCCCCATGAAAGCAACCCCTGCATCCATTGCAGCAGACAGTATGTAGGCATGTCTAGCCCACCATCCCTTGTGCCTCTTGTAGACGTAGTAGTTGAAGAAAAACCCGACCGCTGCCCAACTCCAGTAGTGAACCGGTCTCGCAGGCGGCATGCTGGCCGACGCTCCGAGGATCAGCGGCATGTGAATCAGCTTGATCCACTTCTTGTTTGGGAACTTGCGGGACAGCAGCCAAACCGGGACTGGAGCAAGCAACCCGAGCAAGAAGAACCAGTACTGCTCTCTGTAGATGCCTAGGTCGCCGAACATTCTTCGTGGCGAAACCACTCCCCAGATGATCGACGCGCTGTAGAACACGTCAAATCCAGGGCACGTCCATGGACTTCCCTCGGGCAGGACGTCCAAGTCGCAGACGTGGGGCACGCTCTCCAGTATCCACCACGCTGTGGCGAAGTAGACGCTCGAAGCAACTAGCGTACCAACGAGCTGCAACAACGTTTGGTCCGTCGATGAGATTGTGTGATTGATCTCTAATTAGTACAATAAATTGGAAGTGTAGAGGAGTTTGATTTAGTTACCTGAACGATGAACATGGATTTGGGAGGAATTTTCATGTAGTGTCCGAGTTTGAAGTCTTCCACGAATGAGAGAGCTTGTGCCATGCTGATGTAGCCATAGGTCTTGAATGCCACATTGGCTAGAGGCTTTCCAGGATAAGCATAACCGATCATCAACTCGGTGATCACGTTTAGCCCGATTTGCTGCAATTCGAAGCAGAATGTTATGGTTGTTAGAAGATCAGTACTCTAGAGAGAAACCAACAAGAATGTCAGACTGTTGTTCTAGATAGTTAGGCTACTTACATTGTTTGTAGTGGCCTGAATTATACCGATTGGAAGAGTGGAAACCATAGCAAGCACACAGGCAAAGATGAGTCCCCACCAGGGAAGTTGCAGTTGCTGCCCAAAACCCTCCACGGCATACAAAGCCATAAAGAAACTCACTATCAGTACAAGAATAAACCACCATTGTGGTACAACGTCATAGTTCTTCTTCATTATTCTAGTATGCACATCAGCAAATCGCGCTTTGCTTGCTGCTGTCGCCTTCTTGAACAGATCCACGATGACCCTGCCACGTCGTAGCAAAATAATTAAACGGTTCGAATCGACAACCAACTCAGTGAAAGAACACAAGAAAAGGAGAACTTACTGTCCATCGAAGAGGGCAACATGTGAAATGGTAGCAGTCAGAGTAGCGAAACTCAGCCCATACACAAAGGCAAAGAAGATGGAGAGATGGATTTTACTATAACCATCATAAGCCGCCAAATCGATGTCGAAACTCTTATCATTGAGTATCCTCGTAATGTTATACGGGTGCCCGGTACTGTCGAACGTCCCCGACGAGAAGATGGGGAAACGTTTCGCCTGATGAACGTTTCCCCAGTAAGCAATGGGCAGAACCACATAGATCAGCAACACAAATCCAACAAACGAATTGACAATGGCATACAGAGGATTGGCAATCGGACTGCCGAGGAAGCTAGCAACAGTAGCCCAATCGAGCCCGAAACTCGCAAGGCCAAGTCCGCTCATCCCGGACCCAACCTGCTGCGCGGTAATGGACCGGCTCCACACCAGGCAAATCACCGATATGGTCGAAATCGAAGGCATGAAGTAACCGGGAAATGCATAGTAAGCAAAGCTGCAAATGAAGACAATGGTGAAGAATTGGAGCCTGGTGTATCCGCCTTTCGCCCTCTTCTCCTTCTCGTGCAGCGCCCTGAAGAGCGAAACCTGGACCAAATTAGCCGGCCACCACATGAAGGGCGAATCGACGAGGATTTTGCGGAAGAGCCCTGCCCAACCGTAGCCGAGCAGCTGAGTTGTCTGCGCCAGGAGGAAAGCAGCACCAGGATGGAGGCCTCTCTTGTAGAACGCCTTGATGATTGTGATGATATTAACCGCGTAGACGCCGCTCGAGCCGCAGCTGGCGAAGATGGTGATGAGAGCGTGCTCCTTCATGTTGAACGGCCCCGGATTCAGCGACCATGTGTAGTCCCAAAAGGGGGAGATTCTGAATTTCCTAGTGGGCAGAGTTGCGGCCATTAGCTTCCCCAATGGAAGCACCACGATTTGAGCCGAAACCGAGCCCACGAAGAGCTGGTTCTGACGGTAGCCGAAGAATTGGTTGACGAAGGAAAGAATTGCACAGGCTAAAATCCCGAGGACCCATGTCCGGAAAGTGAGGACCGGTTGGGTCGGGTCGTCGGTGATTGGCACCGTCAGCCGGACTTGCTCGATTGGGTTGTCGTTCACTTCTTCTTCCTTCTCATCGTCTGCACAGACACAAAGAATCAAAAATAAAAAATCAAACACCAACCCATTATGAAATCGACCGTAATCGAGAAACCCTTTTAACCGTTTGCGAAAATGAAGCATGCTCACCAAGAACAATGCGCTGAGGAGGAGGGGCTGCCTCAACTGAGAAAGACATGTCTTTTTGGAGGCCCTCTGGCCTCGGATTCGTCGTCGATTGCAGAGAATATGTGAAATTTATGACAGAGAGTATCGAGTTTAGATGCAATGTAGTAATGAACTGAGTGGTGGGCGGTTGTTAAATGGTGAATTGGACATGTGAAGAGGGATTGGAAAGGTGGGAGTTCTTTAATGGCAAAACCTTTGCCAGAATATGTTGGTTGGAGGAGAGCAGTGTGCAATTGAATCTGCTATATTGTCGGGTTGGCAATTAAACTTGGTCAGTTGGCTACTTGCCTATCTTTTTCCTTCCTGTTTTGGGGGAGGATGAGTTTCTCTCCGCCCGCCATTAACGTCGTAATAGAGATACCACATCTGGTGAGGATCTCTCACAACTGTCAAAAAGGCGCCATTTAAGACCCACCTACATAAAAACTAAAACGAACCCGTGGTTTTTGATTCTTTCTCTGTGAATCTGTACCATATTTGCAACCAATTTCATTTGCTCTGTTTTCAGAATAACAAACAGAGAACCCATAATCAGTTATTAGTGGTAACTTAACTTCCTTGCATCTGTAAATCTCGGAGATTCTGCTGACCTTATCTAAAGAGGATTCTGGTAATGCTTGCTCCCGTGATTTCGGATTTTGTTATGATGATGGCCTTTTTTTTTTTGGTTTTGAGATCTGGTGCGTAAAGACAGAACCTTGAGACGACTAGGAATGGATGCACTTGCAATTTGTTTAACATTATACGGCCACCCACCCCACCAATTGGCAGAGTGCAGAAAATGGCAGAGGGTCAAATTGCACTCTTTTTCTTTATAAAATGGAGTTTATTTTGGCTTTAGCAATTGTTTTATTTAGTATATAGAGTATCTTTATATAAATAACTCCATTTATTTTTATGAATAAAACAAGGTTGACTTGGACTTTCATTGTAGTGACGTGAGTGTGAAAGAAGAAGGGTAATGTGGAAATAGGGCAAAGCACAGGAAAAATAGGATCATGCAGATTGTGTCCCGTAGCTGCGTAGCATAATCTAATATCGGCTAAATTACACATTTGGTCACTCAAATTATACAAATCTTTCACGTTTGCCACTCGAATTACTTTTCTTTCTTATTCGCCACTAACTTTACGAATCGTTTCACGGTTGGTCACCGGCCGTTACACTCCGTTAAGTTTGTCCTACGTGGCAGTCAACTATAAAGTTTGACCGTTAACTAGATGACGTGGAAATTAAAAAAAATAAAAAAATAAAATTTTATTTCCACCTCATCATTGCACTTATTTTGTCTATAAAATTTGTCATATTAATAATTTTCTTTCCAGCCACCACTCCCCTTCTTCCTCTTCTTCGCAGCAGCAAACACCCACAACTTGCCCTTCTTGTCCCTCACTTTCCAAATGTTCCTCTTCCTCCACACCAGCTTGTCTAACTTCCACACCTCGTAGCTAGTATCAATCACCGTCACTTCACTCCGCGAGTGCCCTTTCAGCTCTCTATCCCCTCCACACCCTTCACCGTCGCCACGGCTGCACTCGTCCTTATCCTTCTCCTCATCCACGCCATCCCCACCGCGCTTAGACAATACAATGTTCGGCCATTTCGGCCGGAACCAGTCCCCTTCACCATTTCGGCCAGAAATCTCGGGGGCTTGCTCCGCGACGGAGTTGGAATTGACGAGGGAATTGGAGACGGCAACATCATCGGATGTAGGGGAATCGGAAGCGTCTTCGTCGGCGGTGGGTTTGGCGAGAAGGAAGTCGTCTAATCCGATGTCGCTGGAGGTGGAGAAGCCTTTGGTGGATCGTAGTCGGTCCAGCCAATTTGAACTGGGCTTCCCGCCGGGGACTGAGCACAACATTGGGGAAGGGTCGAAGTGAGATTCAGATAGTATCAATTGGTGCGGCGGTTGGGTGGTCGCAACGAGAATTTAGCCACGGCGGGAGGAAGGATCGGCAGAGCCTCCGATGGAGTGGATGGTGAGGGTGAGGATGATGAGCATTTAGATTTGTCCATTTTTGTAATTTATTAAATTTTATTAAATCATTAATATGATAAATTATATAGACAAAATAAGTGCAATGATGAGGTGGAAATAAAATTTTATTTTTTTATTTTTTTTTTAATTTCCACGTCATCTAGTTAACGGTCAAACTTTATAGTTGACTGCCACGTAGGACAAACTTAACGGAGTGTAACGGCCGGTGACCAACCGTGAAACGATTCGTAAAGTTAGTGGCGAATAAGAAAGAAAAGTAATTCGGGTGGCAAACGTGAAAGATTTGTATAATTTGAATGACCAAACGTGTAATTTAGCCATCTAATATCTCTATTTTTTTCTTCTTTTCTAAATTCTCAACTCCTTAATTATTTTAATCAATTCATATTTTAGTTTTTATACATTTTTTTGAAAAAAAATTGTAAAGGATGTCCTAACCTGTTACATTAATGGTACAAGATTTAAAACCCCAACATATCATAGTTCGGTGCATGAACTTTGGCTCTCGTTACAATCTACAAGGTGGAAACTCCAAGTAGTAAAAAAAAAAAGTCTCTTAACAAGATAATTGACGACATAATTACCTTCATAGTGCAAAATTCCCACTATCTATTGAGAATACTTTTTTTTTATAACTGGCATGTATTGATTAATTAAACAAGTTCGTGTGTTACAGAGCCATCCGCTAATAATTGGGGTACCAAAAAAATTGGAGGACGATTAAACCGAACTTCCGTCTCCTCTAGTCGACAACGCACTCTCGCCATCGCGTAAGTGCTCTCATTTCCTTTCCTCACCTAGAATCGCCAATGAACATTTCAATCCTCCCGAGCCAGCTCCCTGATTTCATCACATATCCCCTCAAATTCCCATATCGTAGTCTCCTTTCGATCGAACTTTTGAATCACCGATTTGCAGTTCGTCTCAATGAGCAGCGGCAGGAATTGGTGCGCTTCGACGAGCCTCAGTCCCCAGAGAAGGGCAAGTGCTTCAGCCATTTCCGGTGGCCACTCCGTCCTTGTACGATGAACCGCCGCCACCTGGAATTGCCCCTCTTCGTCGCGGATAATCAGCCCGTACCCAGTCCCATCCTCATCCAAGATCGCAGCGTTTATTCAACTTGAAAGACCCCTGTGGCGGAGGTTCCCACCCTAAACGGGTCTTCACAGAGGGGACCTTCACTCCATGGATCTGCTGTTGTTGATATTATTCCAGGTAGGGCTGAGCCCTCGTCACCACTTCTGATTCCTCTAGCTTTGCATTGTTGAATAAATGGTTGTTTCTCTCTTTCCAGAGAAACCATAGGGTGATTAGCACCGCATATAGTTCTTCCTTGTTTGTTCCCTCGATTAGGTTACCGAGCTATTTCTCGCAGTTTTTTCCTTCTCCCATCAAGAAATACTTCGCCAAATTGCTAGGTCTCCAAACTCGACTTGCCCAGTCGCAATCCCTAGTTATGTGTTCTTGGGTTTCCACCAATCCATAGAAGGGACATTCATCATGTGCCTATGGGATTCTTCTACTGAGGTTTGCTCCTGTAGGTAGTATGTTACAGCCTTATCACCAAACAAAAATCGAACCTTTGTAGGTAATTGCAGCGTCCATAGGTGTTTCCAATCGATTGGGACATAGCTTTCCACCTGATCACCCACCTATTTCCTCGTCCATTCTTTATAACCTGAACGAACCGAGTATTTCACAAACTTCATCGTGCCTCAGACCCTCAATCTGCCCTGGGGTGAAAAGGAATTGGAATTTGATTGATCCGGTCTGGATATGTTGGTTGGAAGTTTGCTTGCAGAAGATTGCTTTTCCAAGATCGAGTGTCCTGATCAATTAATTTCGATACCTTTTCAGTGATGCCCAATCCAGAAACTTTTGTCTATACTTTGTAGTTAGCAACTGTTGAGATCCAGCGATCCCACCATATTCTCACACTCTCCCCATCCCATATTCTCCACCTTGTACCCTCTCTAACAAGTGTTTGAGCTTGCATTAGACTCCTCCAAATATAACTAGGGTTGTTGCCTATCTCAGCTTCCAGAACGTCACAATGGGGATGATAATTGGCTTTGAGTACTTGTTCCACTAGGATGTTTGGATTTTGGAGTAGGTTCCAGACTTGTCTTCCAAGCAGCGCAATGTTAAATCCATGTAGGTTTTGAAAACCCATACATCTCTCATACTTTGGTCGACATAGCTTATCCCAAATCATCGAGTGAATCATCTTCTCTTCCCGTTTCTTACCCCACCCGAAACTAGCTATCATACTCTGAATTTCCTGGATCACTCCTAGAGGGATCAGAAACATTGACATGGCATAAAGTGTTTGCGCTTGTGCCACAACTTTAATCAGTATTTCTTTAGCAGCATTTGAAAGAAGCTTCCCTTTCCACATTTTGATCTTATTGCGCACTCTATCAATGAGCTGTGAGAACACAACTTTCTTTGCTCTACCAATTATCGTTGAGAGTCCCAAGTATTTTTCATGATACATTACAGTTCTCATCCCCCAATGTTTCAGCCATTTCCTTTCGATCTGCCTCTGTGACATTCGTACTAAAAGACAGTTTAGACTTGGCAAGACTGAGTTGTTGTCCTGAAGCTTTCTCATTATTTGTAGAATATCCCTCAGCACCTCTCCTTCCTCCTTCTTATTCTCAAAAAAGAATATACTATCGTCTGCAAAGAAAATGTGTGGAATCATAGGGCCATTGCTACTCACCTTGATCCCTCGTAGTTTCCCTTCCACCACTACTCTTTTTGTCAAACCTAACAGCCCTTCAACACATAGAAGAAACAGGTAGGGAGAGATAGGATCCCTCTGTCTTAGACCTCTCGAGGGCTTAATGATCTCAGTCTGATGTCCATTTATCAAAGCTAAATAGGTGATAGTACACACACATTGCATGATTAAATGGACCCACTCCTCATGGAATCCCAATTTTAGCATAAT